ACTGAGGTAACACTTTCTATGAATGTCACCTTTGTATGCATCTATAAACACATTCATAACATGTTATAATGCATTCATAAGGCATTATAAACATGGCTATAAATATTTATAAAAATGTTCATAAATTATAAGCGCTCATAAGTCGTATTTGTCCGCTCTAAGTAAAGTGAAGCGTACTGTACTAAAGCCTCCTCCAGTGTTCAGAGTGAGGCTTCAAGTTGAAGTATTTACTGAAGGATTTACTGAAACACTAAAACATTCACAGTAAAGCTCATTACAGGCTTCAAATGTCAGAGTTTAAACTAGAGCTGCCATCAGTGTTTTACCCAATGTGGGAAAGGTAATGTACACCACCGTTAGCTTGGTATTTGTCTTTACTTTGCAGTCTCCAAGCTGGGACTGACTTCTTTGGCACTGACAGTATAACATGTTATCAACACTACTTACAATGCATTATATTAACAATTCATAATGTATAATAAACATGGCTATAAAGTGTAATTCAGTGTAATTCATTTTTATAAATGTTTATAATCATGTTTATAATGCCATATGAAGGCATTATAACATGTTATAAATGTGTTTATAGATGCTTACAAACGTGACATTCACAGAAAGTGTTACCGTTACTGAATACCATATAGTAATTACTGAGTACCAAGTATTAGTTACTCAGTACCGTAAAGTAGTCACTGAATACCATATAGTAGTTACTAAATACTGTATACACTGTAAAAAAAATTGCTAATCAGTTCAACTTAAAAAATTACTTCATGTAGTAACAGGCAATTAAACTATAAAATTATACTGATTGAAAAGATCGTTCATTCAAAGGATCAGTTGAATAGGTTGAATAAAACTAGTTAATGTACTTGTTACCACATGAAGTAATGTTATTTAAGTGGAACTGACGAGACATTTTCTTACAGTGTAGTAGTTACTGAATTACAAGTAAACAATAATAATAAGGCTGCAGTTTAGGAAAAGGTCTTGTTGGAAACACAATTCTACATGCTCATCTTAATGACATGGTAAATTAAACACCAGCATGCCTGGTCGTGCAAATAAACAAGCAAACTCATCATAAACATCTATACATACACACTCACAGGAAAAATCATTACCTCACACACGTCAGCACCTGAGGAAACTCCTTGAGGCTCAGGTAAGCATATAGTTGTATGCTTGTTAAAGCATATGGACATGCATGTAATTTACTGTAACATCCTACCGAATTTCCCAACTCAGGAAAAAAAACCTTTAAGGGACCCATGGCTGCTGTCGGAAGAAAACCTTGTATCTCTATTTTTGTCATTTTTTTGTTTTTGACATAATTTAAAAATGCCTATTGCCCTTTACATTGTCTGTAATTTCATGATGAATGGACCAAACGAAGTGGCCTAAAATGACTTGGAAAAATGTCTCATTCCATTGAGTTACATTAAAAGTAAAGTGGGTTTTTTCCTTTTCCTGTAAAGTTATCGTTTTGGAGATACAAGGTTTTCTTCCGACAACAGTGATATATATATATAGGTCTGCTTTTATGTAGCAAAAATTGTCATTTTTGCCCTTTCTTTATCCCTTTTTACATTTAAATAGGCTTTTTTTATTACTGTGCCTTCAACACTGATATAAGATATATTAACTCTGTTCTGATTGGCTGCCTAGTATTCAAAAATCTCATCCAAAAAACACTCCTTAGAACTTCAGAAGGCTGAATAACTGGGTAAAAGTAAATGAATTGGTTTTTGTGACATCACAGAAAAAATAAATCAAAATGTGCTGTTTTTGCAGGTTAGTTTTCATATGTGGGACATATGCTGTGCAGAGCATCTTTACGTGCTACTTCAAACTTCTTTTTTTTTAGAGACATTCATTTTTCTCTGATATGGGCCCTTTAAAGTACAATAAACCTTTTGTCTGTATTTAATAAATGTGTATTTCACACACACACACACACACACACACACACACACACACACACACACACGCACACACCCCTCCCTCACACTTTGCGTACATCCTCTTTATGAGTATACAGCGGCTGGTTACTGCATTACATGTGTGTTCCTCCTTATCCCTCATCTCCATGGCAACTGAACTCAAACTTTCCACCGCTAGTCGTCATTTGTTGGTGTCTGGCATAGCAAAACTGTGAGTGTGTGTGTGTGTGTGTATGTGTGTGTGATCTTTGGTAACCCTGTTGCCATGGAAACCGCGGGTGTGGCCTGTTGTCCAGGGCGGCATGGGGGAAGTTCTGAGGAGAGGCAGGACGGAGCTGCAAAACGCACTCACTATTTACACACTAAACACCGCACTGCCCATGGTCAAACCACTCGCTTTCCAGCTCAGAACGAACAACGTAACAGTTTAATCCACACCAGAGACTTTACTGTACAGACTGGACTGAACTCAGCTTCTGCTAAAAACTCAGTTTTGAGTGGTGAATCAGAGAGCAGAGAGATGAGGAATCAAATAAGCTGCCTGACTGGTCTCATAAAACCACAACAAAACTGGCAGCAGGATTACAACTACGAGCCAAACAAAACAAATTCAGAATACTGTCTGCCTCCTTTTCTTTGGAGAACTTTTTTTTCCTACTTCAGGTTTAATTAGACTAGATAATTATTTTTCAAGAAAGGTTTTGGTTTTAACTCTTAGATGTCAAGTCAGTTGTTGTTTTGGTTTTGCTATACTGTTGTAATGTGATTACATAAATACATATTTAACAAGAAAACTGCATTTCCTGAAGAAAGAGAGTGATTTACAGCTTAAGCAACTGAACTAGTTTAATTCAACTTAAAAACTACATTAATTAAAAGAATCAATTATTCCAAGTATTTATTTAGGCTGATGAAAACTAGTTAATTTACTTGTTACCACATAAAGTATTTTTTTAGGTAGATCTGATGAGCCACTGTTTATAGTGTAGGGTGTTGCCAGATTGCTGTCATGGTAGTTTAGGTGGTTGCTAGGATGTTCTTAAGGTGTTGCGAGGTGGTTGCTAGGCTGCTGCTTAGTGGTTGCTTTTGTATCCCAAGTGATTTCTAGAGTGTTGCTGTGCAGTTGCTATGATATCCTGAGTGGTTGGCTTGGTGGTTGCTATGGTATGGTGGTTGCTAGGGTGCTTCCTGGTGGCTGTTATGGTATACGTGATTGCTACACTGTAAAAAATGTTTTATCAGATCAACCTAAAAAACTTACTTTATGTACTAACAAGCAGTTTGACTAGTTTTATTAGACTCAAAATAATAAATTCATTAAAAAAATAATTCAAAGTATGTATTTGGGTTGAATAAAACTTGTAACCACTTGAAGTGATTTTTTCAGGTTGAGCTGTGTTTTACAGTGTATAATGCTATTTTCCACCTCTATATGAAAAGAACAATATTTGGCAGTATTTTCAGCAGGAGGTAATCAGGATCACACTATAGGAGTTTATATGTGTTTATTTGTGCGTCTGCATGTGTGCTTGAGTGGTGGTGGTCTGGTGGTCGGGGGGGGGGATTTCATGAGCCAGCAACACACTCCATACAGCTGGAACTGTTTAACAATGGAAGAAAACTTTGGAAAACAACAGCACTTTTCAAATGCACTGAAACAGTAAAAACACTGTTCCTCAAATGAAAAGCAACGCCTCACCTGAAATGCCCTATTTACTGCCTTCGACAGAAGTGCCAAGTCATTTTTTTGATATAGCAACATGAGATGCCATGTGGTGTAAATCATACAGTCTCAAGTCTAAATAGGGAAGGACGTGAAGCACACAGCATCTGATCTGGTCGGATGACCTGCTGATAAAAATGAGTCATATTCGGCTGAGTCTACTACATTGACAAAAAAAAAATCTACAACAGAAGCCCCATTCATGATGAATCAGACCCGACGAAGCCATCTCTTTATAAGAAATACATATCGGTCAGTTTCATCTCTTATGACACACAGTTGTAAATACACCTACACACAAGCCAGCAATTAGCTGGCCTGCCGCTCAAGGGTCACAGGTCGTGTGTTATACTCCCCTCTAGTCTAGACTGTGAAGCTAAGGCAGCTTTAGGCCTAGAAAAATGAAGTTAGCATTGAGTTACCTCACTTTGGGCTAGAAAAATACCTGCACTGTCGTCAGAACAGTAAAACGAGTGCATCCTTCGCATAACCAGATTAGCAGCTATTATGACTGTGTGACTGAGGAATGGAGGAATGTTAGCCACAGCTGATGAAGCAATAATCTGTCTTGGGTGGAGGTCCCTTCAGTACAATTACGGTAGTTTTATGCACCCTGATCAAGAGATAAGATAAGAATGTCAGTCAGAATGTGACAGTCCCACACTTTAATAGTGTTTAACAGCCAGACACACCTATTTTCAAGAGGAAGAACACCAGCTGGTAACTCTTACCTCTGCAGCTAAGCTCTTTTTTGGGGGCAGCTGAAAAGCTGTGAGCTGTTCTAAATCATGAATTCCACAGCAAAGTGCTTCTAATTTGGAAGGACAAACTTCTTTGCCTTCTGTGGGCAAAAGTGGATGAGTCATAGGTTTAGGCTTCGACCCAGCAAATGGCTTTTAATGAACTTTAATTACATCTGAGCTTAAATGAATGGCAGGTATTAAGTGATAACTAGTATAATAAAGTTGTTATACGTATGATAAAACATCGGCATTATTGATGTTAAAGCGTATGTTTTCCAAAGAAGCCGTAACTCTGTTTTGATTAGGCTGCAGAGAAAAGAAAAGAGGGAGAAAATCTGATTTGATTTGAACATCCAGCCACAATACTCCGTTTAATGAAAACAGGAATAAAGTGGCTGCAATGTTATCTGGCTGCTCTGCTTCTGCTTTGTGGGAAGAGAAATCCTGTCGATGGGGTTGGTCCATGTTCCTTGAGCCATTCAAACAAATCATTTAAGCAATTTGCTATTGTGTGCTGGGCCAGGGCAGGTCTTGAGGTTGGATCATGCTCAAGTTGGATGAAGAAATAAGAGAGGTTTTTTATTTCTACAGGTTCCTGTTTCAGAAACAAAGGCCAGGATTCTGCAGTGGAACAGAGGAAAAAGCGGTTTGGTTAAACCAGCATGACTCACCAACAGACAACATGAAAGACAGACCAAAAGAAAAGAAATGGGCTAAAAGCGAAAACAGTCTTTCATAGTGTTTTTCATGGTGTTGTAAGTGAAGTTCTTGATAACATTATAATGCATTATAACTTGAGCAAGGCTTATTCAGTGCAGTGGTTAGGGTCAGTGTGTCTAATTCTTACTAATGGACAATAAAATATAAAAAAAGATGATTTAGCACAGCTATAAAGTGAAAATATTAGTGAAATGTAGTGTAGTGTAATAATAGTGTTTTTCATGATATGGTAAATCATGTTCTGCAGTGCATTACAAAGGCTTATTCAGAGTACAGTGATTATGATCAGGGTGTCTAATTCTCACTATTGGACAATAAAAATGAATAAAAGATAACACAGTTATAAGGAAGAAGTTTTTATAATGTAGTATTAATAATGCATTATAACTGTGAGGCTTATCCAGTACAGTAGTTAGAGTTGGGGCATTTGGAGCATATGTCTCTAAATTTACAGAGTTAAGACAAATCATAACATTCTTTATGGTGCTATAACATCGTTTGGTGACACTTAGCACTGTAGGGTGCTATTCATAAGGCTACATGACACCTACATAAGCTTGTCATGACAAATGACATAACCCTACATAAATGTTTATAAAAGCTTGTTCCAAAAGGTGTAATTTGTTATAAACGCTACTTTTGCCGTTTGTCATCAGTTAACTAAAGTAGCCTTTATAACGAATGACACTTATTATATTATGACTTTATTATAACTGTGATCAATGTATATTATCAGCATTAAATTGTTTAGGGTTAGGGTGTCTAAAGTAAGTCTCTCTAAAAGATGTGACAACAAAAAAGGAATATTTTGCATAATATTTATAATAATGTTCTTCATTATATGCTAATATTATAATTATAATATAATTATGTTCTTTAAAAAGATAAATGCAATCAATGCATTTTTACATTTTTAAACATCTCACTCAGTTCTGTGGTTCCAGGGAGGGTCTCTAAAATGAGCCTGTGGTTTTGAGTGAGTGTGTTTTTGTGCATACAAGCTCCATATCTAACAAACTGGCACTGAGTCATGCAGTAATATCAATTAAATAACTGAAGTACTACTACTACTATTAATATTAGTAGAATAATAATTTTGTACGTAGTTTGACCAGAGGAGGATGGGTCCCCCCATGTGAGCCTTGGTTCCTCCCAAGGTTTCTTCCTCAACTGAGGGAGTTTTTCCTTGCCACTGTCGCCCCTGGCTCGCTCACCTGGAGGATTTACATTTCATGTTAAACTTTGTTCTAAACGGATTTCTGTGAAGCTGCTTTGTGACAACATCAGTTGTAAAAAGCGCTATACAAATAAATTTGATTTGATTTGATTTGAAGTGTTCAATTGAATGCAAGATTCCCAGGAATGACACAAAGTGAAACTGATCAGCTGATCTTTCCTTTCAGGAGAAACCAATCAACACCTTCCTTAGCATAACAATACTGACAAGGTCAAGCCAGATTTCACTGACAACAACAGAGCTTTCAGGTAATTCCATCACAGGAGAAAGGTGGAGTACCTGAGGCAGACTGAAATAAGGTCTTATCTACACAGATACTGCAGTGCTGAGAGTAACTCACCCCTTTTCTCCCCCTGCCCATCATGGTCGACCCTTAAATTTTGGGTAAAAATCTTAAAATGTATCCTCAGTAACTGCCAGTCATTATTTGGAAGCTGTCATGAAACTAAATAAGAAAGGTTCAACTTAACTAGGCTTAAAGCAACAGTCTGCATTGATGTTTTTGCACTGGTTTAACTTGCATTGCCTTTTTAGGTAAAAAGAACCTGAACAATCCCAGTTGATTTAATCTCAATTAAATCAAGTTCTGTGAGTTCAACAATGTCAAACCTCAAAAAATACAAGAAGATCATAACATTAAGATATTTGGACACTGAGAATATTGTCACTGTCAGAACAAAAAAACATTTTTTATTATTTAACATATCGCTGCTGTCGGAAGAAAACCTCATATCACCGTTTTCATAATCTGAAAATGCCTGTTGCCCTTTACATTATGTGTAAATTTGACGATGAATGGACCAAAAGAAACGGCCCACAATTACTTGGTAAAAAGTCTGGTTCCATTGACTTACATGCAAAGTAAAGTAGGTTTTTTCCTTCTCCTGTAAAGTTACCATTTTGGAGATACGAGGTTTTCTTCTGACAACAGCCATATTCTAAAAAACACCAGCTGTCCTTTCGATTGTGTCCAAATTTCATGATGAATGGACCAACCAAAATGCTTCTTAGTTACTTGGAATTAAATATTTTTACATTGACGTCCATTAAAAGTTAAGATGAATGAATGAATGAATGAATGAAAGAAATAAGCAAGCATGCAAGAATTTAGTTAAGATATCTAAAGCAAAGTTTTTATAATGCTTTTCATTATGTAGTATTATAATTACATTATAACTGTGATCAGTGCATTATAACAGTTCTGAAGTCTTATTCGTTACAGTCATTAGAGCTGGAATATATAGAGTAAATCTCATTGATGGACCTAACAAAAAAGGCAAAAAGCAAACACAGTTCTTCACAACATGCTTCATAACATTGGTTCTACTTAAAATGGTTATAGCTGCCAATGGCCAGTTCCCTGGACACAGATTAAGTCTAGTCTAGAACTTAATTGCAATATCAGGGGTGATGTATCACAGAAAAGCCTTTCTAATCTAGGATTAAGCTAAATCTGAGTCCAGGAAACCTACTATGAACTATGTGTACTTGCTATGTAATAATGCTCTGTTCAGACGCAGCCTATTGTTTTCATTAGGACCTGAACAGCATGCTCCGTCTCAACTATGCTGGACTGCTGGGTCATATAACACTACAATATCATTACTCTATCATGCTGTTGTTAAAGGTCTAGGCCAAAGGATTAAGCTGCCATAAACACAAAGTGACTGTAAAATGGATCCAGTTTACGAGGTCTGCTGAGTCCAGAAGGCCAAAGAGCCTGAGGCAGAGTCTTAAGGAATGCAACTCGGGGGTGTCTCTGCTTTATGACTTCTTTTACAAAGTAAAAGTTGCCTCATTCATTATTACACATTTGCAAGTCTGTGGCAGTGAAAGCTGCAAAAGATGCATCTACCTTATGCAGTTTCTAGCCATAGCAAGCTAAGCTAAGCTAAGTTTTTAAATGTCTAAAATAACAAAAGGAGGTGTGAGTGATATTCCTTCTGCCATTAGACTGTACAAACAGTAAAAAGTCTGTGCTGGAGGTAACATTAAAACGAAGGCATGTGCACCTTCAACAAGTATGTTGTTGTATGACTTACATTGCCAAGAGCTATGAAGTGCCACCAGTCCATGAGTTTTACAGAGATAATTGAAGCTGTCTCATGCCTTATTTGAATAGGCAAAAGGTTTTAAGGCTATTTTGCGATGAGGCTTTAATTTGAATGTCCTGCAGCACAGCATACACAGCAGTGTTGAGCAGATACACTGTGTGGGCCTCTACTGAATGAGCCTCGTAATGTATGAAATCAATAAAGGTGGTTGTTTGACTCACACAATGAAAATGTGGCAATATACCACAAAGTAACAAAGTCCATATGCTGACTCTATTAGATAGAATAGAAATGTGTGGTATAATGAAATTAACTTCATACAATCAGGCATTTTTTAAGCATCTACAATGTAAAATAAATATTTAATACAGATCTGCCCCCATGCATCACTGTAATCATGCAAAACCCCTGTTTTACCAGAGCTGCCAGAGAAACTTGCCTGGGTAAAAAGAGAAAAAGAGGGTGTGGTTACTCTCAATGTCCAGGTAATGATTAGAGGAAGAACGTAAGGACAGGAGTGTTGAGTTTCAGCCCTGCTCTTTACTCTACTCCAGCCAATCAGAGTCATGCTTTGGCTCCTCCCCTCTCCACTCTCCACTATACTAAGAGGGGCAGTGTCCACTGCCTCTGCCCAGCTGCTCGGGTTTCTCCAGCACAGCAGACCAGCTTCCCACTGCTGCTCTCTCTCTCTTCCCCACTCGCTCGTGCTCTCTCGCTCAGAAGTTCCACAGACAGAATGTCTTACCTCACAAAGAAAACATCCTACACCGTCAAGTCTTCCTCCTCTGGGTCGGTTCCCCGGAGCTTCAGCAGCCAGTCCTACTCTGGACCCAGCATCAGCCGACAGAGCTACACCGCACGCAGCTCCTATGGAGGGGTCAACCGTGGCTTTGGAGGTGGACTGGGAGGTGGACTGGGAGGTGGCAGCTATGTCACCAGCTCCACAGCCTACGGAGGCGGCATGGGTCTGGGCATGGGCGCCGGAATGGGCATGGGCGGCAATGTCATGCCCATCACCGCCGTGTCAGTCAACAAGAGCCTCCTTGCCCCTCTGAACCTGGAGATTGACCCCACCATCCAGGCTGTCCGCACCCAGGAGAAAGAGCAGATCAAGTCCCTCAACAACCGCTTCGCCTCCTTCATTGACAAGGTGAGTAACTGTAATGTTTGGCTCTCTGCTTGGTTTTGACACCTTAGACTCCAAGGAACCTTTAGTTGGTACCAACTTTTATCCTCACTCTTGTAACTACATGCCTCATAGTAGTTCCTGGATAATGATCCTTAAGTTCTCTGAATAATAAGCCTGAAGTATAAGCGCTTAGGGCTCCTAACAGTGTAAATGAAGCTTAGGACAATGCTGCAATTAACACTGTGCTAACAGGGAAAGATCTTCAGAAGACCACGTCTCACTTTGAATAACAAACTTTGAATGACATCTAATTCACTTCATAGTGATCACCAAGTCAATGAACATAAGGAACAGAAATATGAGGCATTAAGAAGTGTAAAAAATAATTTGTTCTCCTGCAAAAGTGATAACTTGCTCTACAAACTTTTGTAATGGCTTCTTGCTGCAGAGAAGAACAGGAGATGTGTGCTCGGGTGGGGAGTAGGGCGTGTCACTGGTCAGAATGAATGGTTTACCTTTGCAACAGTCTGCCTCAGAGGCAACAAACTCCAACTAAAATGCAGTGTGCACACCCAAACTAGAAGGAACCTCTGGATATGTACTTCTACCAAATATCCACTTTGTCAAACCAACAGTTTTTTCATAAAATTTTGGCTTCCAGTGTAGAACACATTGTAGAAAGTGAAACCCTTAAGCTAGTTTCGTACCATCAGGCAGAAAGGCTATTGTCGCCAGAACCTACAAGACCTGCTCTACAGAGTTAATATTTAATCTGGAGAAATGGTGTCATGTTCAAGCAAACAGCACTGGACAGATTACGTAACAGGCGCTCTTAAGTCAGCGACGACAAAGCATAACTAGTTTTTATCCATTTCTTTCTGATTGAATATTAAAGACATGTTCTTTCTCTTTACCATATGAAAACAATCTGCTTTGCATTGCATTGAATTGTCAATGCAGTGGCTGCTTTGAATAAAGTTGTCGGTCAAGACAGGAGTGCTTTATGTTAGCATTAGTGCAATGGTAATCTTCATTTGTTTAATCTATTATTACTTCTTTAGATAAATAGGGATTATCATGCCCCTGTAAAAGGCCAGGCAATGTTACCTACTCTAAGCAACAGATGAAAACTGACCACTAGTTTGCAGCTAGACAAGTCGACACTGGCCCACTAATAGCACATTACTTTTCCCAAATTCCACTAAGCTTTGTCTTGTCTTGGCTTGACCTGTCCATCTAAACCCGCCATAAAACAGGAAAATCAGGGTAGGTACTGCATTTGTGAAACCCCATCCCCCCACCCCTCACCCCAGTCCTGTATAAGGATGTGCGTCACAATTTCCCTGGAAAAAAACCCCAATGCAATCCTGCAAACAGTCACCCATTCCATAAAACATCAGACCTGCGGGGCTCCTAAGATGTTGACTGATTTCACATGGTGCCCTTTGGCATGTGGTTGTGGTTTGCTGCATTAAATGTCAGGCTGGTCCAGAAACCACGGCTCCATTCAGTCACTGAATGCAACAGCAATCTGGGCCTAGCCCTCTTTGCAGCCCTGAATATGGTCTTCATTTGTGTCTTGGCTGAAACAATAACCCCATTCTCCTCTCGCCCACCCAGGTACGCTTCTTGGAACAGCAGAACAAGATGCTGGAGACCAAGTGGAGCCTCCTCCAGGGCCAGACCACCACTCGTTCCAACATCGATGCCATGTTCGAGGCCTACATCGCCAACCTGCGCAGACAGCTCGACAGCCTGGGCAATGACAAGATGAGGCTAGAGGCTGACCTGCACAACATGCAGGGCCTGGTGGAGGACTTCAAGAATAAGTAAGTCGCTGGCTTGCATTAACAGCTCACTTCAGCTCAGCTGGAGGCTTTCCACTCTTGGGCTGTGGTGAATGGATGGTGCCCAAGTTTTGTGAATGCTGGCTTTTGTGGTACACTTAAGTGTTCCCAGCATAAACAGCACTCCATAAATGCAGATAGTGGAGGAAAAAATGTTATACTGGGGCTTTGGGAATAGGTTCAGGCCATGTTTCCAGCAAGGCTTATGCAAGGAGAAAAAAGTGACTGTACCCATATGAATAAGGCATAAGGTCACTCCCTAGTTTGCTAAGTCCATTGTCTAATTCATTTTCATTGACAGGATTTGCATCACTGTGCTGGCATGTCCTGAATAATATTATAGGTGCGTTACTAAAAACGAGAAAACAAGCTGGACTTGGCTAGCAACCAACATGAGTCACGGTATAGACTGCAAGGCCATAAAACAAAAAGTCATGCCGCACCTTTTCTGCCAATCCCGATGTACACTTATGAACTGTCACCAGCTAAATGGCGACATTAGACTTAAAACTGAGTCTTGGCTTGAAACTTCAGCCATGACTTCAAGAGCTTTTCCCTCAGAGACACAACACTGCTTCCCCCTAGTGTACGCTTTCATATTACACTTTATTATTCTTCTCAAGCCTTCAGAGTTTGGTAATACATTGTGATCTGACATATTCATAACATCATTAATTTTCTTTTCATTTTTCAGGTATGAAGATGAGATCAACAAGCGTACAGAAGCTGAGAACGACTTTGTCCTCATCAAGAAGGTCAGCATAGAGGGTTTTGACTAAACTGGCAGATGCATTTCAATTAAAACCAAGTCTAGCTAGAAACATGTTATTTTAAATCTATTATATTCATCTACAATAATACCTTTACATTTTCTCCAGGATGTTGACGAAGCCTACATGAATAAGGTTGAGCTGGAGGCTAAGCTGGAGAGCCTTACAGATGAGATCAACTTCCTCAGGCAGATCTATGAGGAGGTAACCCGCCTTCAAAGTCTTTTCCGCCAGTTTTTTTTTTTTTTGGTATCTCCTACATTATAAGTGCTCATTGTTTTCCACTCAATCTTGTAGGAAATCCGTGAGCTGCAGTCCCAGATCAAGGACACCTCAGTGGTGGTGGAGATGGACAACAGCAGAAAGCTGGACATGGACGCCATCGTGGCTGAGGTCCGCGCTCAGTATGAGGACATCGCCAACCGCAGCCGTGCCGAGGCCGAGACGTGGTACAAGTCAAAGGTATGGATCAACTGCTGGGCTACTGTTAAGATTACAATTTAAAGGGGCAAAGCTACTTGCCATTTAATGTACCAACCATCTTATCTGGATTCTCTTCTCTTTCTCAGTTTGAGGAGATGCAGACATCTGCCAACCAGTATGGAGATGACCTCAGAGCAACCAAGACAGAGATTTCTGACCTCAACCGCATGATCCAGAGACTGCAGTCTGAAATCGATTCTGTGAAGGGACAGGTGAGGATCCACATGGTCCATATATCCACTATTAGTAAAACACAAATCATGAAGTCTTATTCAAACACAAATCATTTCCAGCAAGCGTGGAAAGTAGTGGCTGCAGAGCACTCATGGTGTCGTCCCTTTTGACTTAGCGTGCCAACCTGGAGAACCAGATCGCTGAGGCTGAGGAACGTGGGGAGATGGCAGTGAGGGACGCCAAGGCTCGTATCAAGGATCTGGAGGAGGCCCTGCAGAGAGCCAAGCAGGACATGGCACGCCAGATCAGAGAGTACCAGGATCTGATGAACGTCAAACTGGCCCTGGACATTGAGATCGCCACCTACAGGAAGCTCCTGGAAGGAGAGGAGGACAGGTGAGTCCACTAAGCCTTTTTTCTGCCATGTTGTCTAATGACTGATTGAAGGATCATATAGGAGAGGATAGACTTCTAACCATGGATGTGTTTTACCAACAGACTGGCAACTGGAATCAAGGCCATCAACATCTCCAAACAGAGCAGTAAGTTTTCTTTTTTCTTCTTGGCTTTTTATGAGATTTTGCAAAGTAGAAAAGATATATAATATACAGTGTTCAATTATATACAATTCTGACCTTGTATAATTTCTGTGCTCTGCAGCAAGCTATAGCTCCTTCCCAATGGAGAGTGCTGGCAGCGCCTACAGCAGCTACTCTAGCGGTTACTCAAGCGGTTACTCTGGCGGCTATGGCGGCGGCTACGGCGGCGGCTATGGTGGCTACAGCTCTGGCAGCGGCTATGGCGACAGCAGCATCACCCAGAGCAAGAAGAGCGTGGTCATCAAGATGATCGAGACCAAGGACGGCAAAGTGGTGTCCGAGTCCTCCGAGGTCGTCCAGGATTGAGCCCAGAGCGTGTTCTCCACTTCTGTCTTGTAACCTTCTTGTGTTCTTATCCATTTCTCATCCTGCCTCTAAACCAGTGGTCCAAAGTAAACAGTCCCAGCGGAAGCGGTCATAAAGTAGGCTGTAAAGCGATAAATGCCTTCACTCTGACCAAAGGATTTGCAAGAGACCAAACATTATCTTCTCACACCGTGCCTTATGCTCATGTCCACGTTCTGCACTAAAAACAAACGCTCTCAGTCTGCTCCACACAAGTTGTACTGTCTTGCACAACATGCCTTCGGGGCCGCATCTATAAGCTGGAGAATGCTAGATCTGCCACCAACATTGGCTACTCTTTAAGTCCCTCAATGCACTGTGACAGGTTTTTACAATTGTTTATGAAGGGTTATGTGCACATTTGTGTTAAAGGGCATCACTGTTTGTGGCAGATCCATGTTGTGTGCCTGCTCTGTAGAGAATGTCTTCCCATTGTACTCTGTCAGATGCAAAAGGAAATGTCCAACAGTGTACCAATGAGGTGCTGTTTTTTTGCTACAAAAAATAAAGTGTTTACTTAAATCCGCCTTCATGTTTTCATTTCAGTTTCCACCTTTTGCTTTACCTGATGTGAGTATAAATCACAATCAAGCACACTTCCTCAGAGTCACAAATAATCCATGCGTGTAAAATCCTAAGGGCACCTGCAATGGAGGTTAAAGCTAGAACACAGGTGAATTTCATGGTGAAAACATTTGTTGAGCACAAACAAAAATTTGTGAATTTATGAAATCATTGGATCTTCAGAGGTTTCCAAACCATGGCTGCAATTTCAACCAAACTTAGGCACTAGTACTATTATAAGGCCAACAGTCAAAAGCCCAAAATAGCACTAAATAACAATCAAAACCCTAAAATAGAGCTTCAACTTATTTATGTCCTTGGCTGTCAGCTGTTTTACAGTCATTATCTTGTACATTTATATCCATTGACAGTCACAATGAAAATTGAAGTGGTTAATTGTCCTATAACGAGGTCAATCACATTAATTATCCCACAGCATACACGCTAGCTGCATTCCAAGAGCTAGGCTGCATGCAAGAAAGGTGGATCCTTTGTAGCACCGTCCAATCAAGGCTCTTCATTCACATTACATAATCATAATAAATAAAAGGAATGGTCTACCAAGGCCGCGGAAGGGAGTTGGTGCAGAATTTAACGGAGAAAATACTGTTGACTCTTTCAGTTATTCTGCTTCTAAACTGTGGAACTCAATTCCACCTTTTATTAGACAGTCAACCTCAGCGCTCACTTTTAAGAAGCACCTAAAAACGTATCTCTTTAGATTAGCATTCAACTAAAACTGAATGTCTCGTGGTTTTTGTCTTGTAATTTAATCTTCTTCATTTTCTTATGATTTTAAATAAATACAAACTATTTCTTGTATAACTATGTTTTATCACCTGTCTGTAAAGCACTTTGAGCTGCCACCGGCATGAAAAGTGCTATATAAATTAAATTATTGTTATTATTATTATTATTATTATTATTATTATTATTATTAATGACGGTAAGCTGGCAAACAAAACATTGATTTTTAATTATGAAATGGTGCTGGCAAAACAGTAATTTGTTTGTAGTTAAATGTTAGTCTGAAAGCTCTTAATTTCACACCCTGCATTCAATGTAAACCCTCAAAAACAGATACACAACTACAGAAATAGCATATCGCATTTTGTTATCATAAATAATACTGACCTTTTTAAATAAAGCGTGGTAGTTAGCTTTATCCATCGGCAATTCTTTTGAAATTTCGTCAGAGAGGATTGTAGGCGGCTAAAGAGGATAAACAGCATTTTCTTTAGTAACACTTTTACTGAATTATTTTAAGGTCTATCTTTTACCAATAATTAAGTGTGAGCAAGCAATTAACAATGACTATGTTCAAACACAATCGCCTTCTAATCAGTGTAAAATTAGCTGTCAGTTGTTTAAGCGAGTTCTGACTAACAGAATAAACAAACATGGAATTGTATGCAAAGATTTGAACATCACCATGACAAACTATGTTAGTCTATTTACTAAGTGGAAATAAGGTACAACATCCTCCACAGGAAACACACTTAAATATGGCATTTTCTGCCGATTTTCTGCACAATTTGCATTTATTTGCTGAGATGAACATATTGCAAAAAAAATCATAAAATATAAAATGTGCCATAACTTTTGCGTCACATTTAATGTTTTTCCCCAATATGTTACATTCAGTAAACAGTAACTGTGCAATAAAAAAGGATAAGTGTGTTCTCTATAGAGGATGTACCAACTTATTTACAGTATAAATGCTTGCTTGCTACTGATATGTGACCATTTACTAGCATTTACTACCATCTTATTACCGTCGTTGTAAATTCAGATCATTATTACTTGTTCATATTCGCTGATAAATATGTCCACAAGACATTTCAATCATGCTTGCAACTAAAAATGACAGTTAATTAATATTTAAATCATTATTCAACAAACAGTACATCATTTATAGAAGATCTTACTGACACATCACATAAATGCATTTATAATTACAAATGACACATGTAAGTTTACTATGGCATTATTAATTATATGATAATAGTTTATTAAATGTTAAGAAAAAAACCTCACCCATCCTCCCGACTGGAACAGTTTCTGATGATGTAGCAGTCTAGAAACACATGCCTGTGAGCCCAGACTGATGGTTGAGGGTAGTGAGGGCTATTTTGATTTGCTAATATTAATCATCTTACATTTCGCTGTTGTCTGAATCTGTGAAATTGATCTCATATCTCCAAAATGGTAACAGAAGAAAAAAACCTACTTGACTTTTGATGTAGGTCAATGGAACCAGACGTTTTTCCAAGTCATTTTGGGTCATTTCTTTTAGTCCATTCATCATGGAATTTACAAACAATGTAAAGGGTAATAAGCACTTTCAAATTATGTCAAAAACGACAAAAATGGAGAAGGTTTTCTTCTGACAACAGCGATTTGTTGTTGTCTATCTGAGAAGAAGAGGGGTGTAAAACATTTTAGGAGAAGGAGATTAGATGCTGTTTATCTATTGCATATATTGTGAAAGGCACAATACAATAAAACTGAACTGAAATCATGAAATCCTCACTTAGAATTCAGGACACCTTGTGGTTTATAAAAACAGAACTACACAAACCTAAAAAGGCTTTTTGGTAAAACTGAATCCTGAGTTATTCAAAACGTTGCCGACAGCAACACCTGGTGATGATACAGCACAATAGACACAACAAAATGCTTCACTTCCTATGAAACTTTTGTTCAATACCAATAAAAACACTTTTGGTATTGAAACAATGTTTTATACTGTTAATTAGTGCCACGATATCACAATATATAACACTAATTTTTACAGTAAAATACATTTTCATTGTGTATATACACCAACCGGCCAATTTATTAAGCTTGGCTTTGTTTCTACGCTCATTGTCCACTCTGTAGTTCTACAATTACAGACTGTAGTCCATCTGTTTCTCTGCATACTTTGTTACCCTGTTCTTCAGTGGTCAGGACCCCCATGGACCCTCACAGAGCAGATACTATTTGGATGGTGGGTCATTCTCAGCACTGCAGTAACACTGACGTGGTGGTGGTGTGTTAGTGTGTGTTGCACTGGTCTGAGTGGATCAGACACAGCAGTGCTGCTGGAGTTTTTAAACACCTCAGTGTCACTGCTGGACTGAGAATAGTCCACCAACCAAAAATATCCAGCCAACAGCGTCCTGTGGGCAGCGTCCTGTGACCACTGATGAAGGACTAGAGGATGACCAACACAAACTGTGCAGCAGCAGATGAGCTATCGTCTCTGACTTTACATCTACAAGGTGGACTGACAAGGTAGGAGTGTCTAATAGAGTGGACAGTGAGTGGACACAGTGTTTAAAAACTCCAGCAGCACTGCTGTATCTGATCCATTCAGACCAGCGCAACACACACTAACACACCACCACCACGTCAGTGTTACTGCAGTGCTGAGAATGATCCACCACCCAAATAGTACCTGCTCTGTGGGGGTCTTCTGGGGTTCCTGACCACTGAAGAACAGCGTAACAAAGTATGCAGAGAAACAGATGGACTACAGTCTGTAATTGTAGAACTAAAACTATATGGTCAGTGGAGCTGATACAATGGACAATGAGCGTAGAAACAGGAGATTGACTTAAGTCACCAATCAGTATATACTGTCACAGCAAATTACTGTGAGGTCAGCACTGAGCTGTACAGCACAACATTATGGGATATGATGGCAACTGAGAGTGAAAGAGGCACAAACATATTTATAGGGCTGTAAAATTCAGTCATTTTTCTCATCTGTAAATTTACAGTAAATTACTGGCTACTGATTTGCTTTACCTTAAGAGTTGTTGTGTAAAAATACAGGAGATTACTGTATTTTAATTCCAGCTTTTTACTGTAAGTGTACAGCCAAATGCAGCTGCATCACCGTAATCTTGTGGGGCAGGTAATTGTGAAGTCATTGTATACAGTTGCTATTTTACTGTGATTAACCATTATTTTACAGTGATATTTTGTGCTTATATGTATGGTTAACTAATGTTACATATCAAAGGCTACATTCCTCGTGTTGTACACACATTTACTGTACAACAGTTATGAGTGAACACAAGAGGGCAGCACCTCTCCACTTAATGTGTCTCACACTGGACTACTTTATAGGAGATGAGACGTATCTAGCAAACTCAGTTTGCCAAAACAGTTCAATGGCCCTTTTTAATTGATCAAAAAACTTTTTTCTGCTCCATATACACCGATCACGCATAACATTATGATCCTTGTTTCTGCGCTCATTGTCCATTTTATCAGCTCCACTTACTATATAGGTGCACTTTGTAGTTCTACAGTTACAGACTGTAGTCCATCTGTTTCTCTGATACTTTGTTAGCCCCTTTTTACCCTGTTCTTCAGTGGTCAGGACCCACATGGACCCTCACAGAGCAGGTACTATTTGGATGGTGGATCATTCTCAGCACTGCAGTAACAATGATGTGGTGGTGGTGTGTTAGTGTGTGTTGCGCTGGTGCGAGTGGAGCTATCGCCTCTGACTTTACATCTACAAGGTGGACTGACAAAGTAGGAATGTCTAATAGAGTGGACAGTGAGTGGACACAATGTTTAAAAACTCCAGCAGCACTGCTGTGTCTGATCCACTCAGACCAGCACAACACACACTAACACACCACCACCACGTCAGTGTTACTGCAGTGCTGAGAATGATCCACCACCCAAATAGTACCTGCTCTGTGAGGGTCCATGGGGTTCCTGACCACTGAAGAACAGGGTAAAAGGGGGCTAACAAAGTATCAGAGAAACAGATGGACTACAGTCTGTAACTGTAGAACTACAAAGTGCACCTATATAGTAAGTGGAGCTGATAAAATGGACAATGAGCGTAGAAACGAGGAGGTGGTCATAATGTTATGCCTGATCGGTGTATTTCTGACATTCTTAGGGTATTTAAGTTTGAAGTATAGACATTTATACTATCAGCTATAGAA